CTACGTTTTTTACTCGACATCTACACGCCAAACCCAGTTTACAACAAGATTTGACTTCTTATAGTTATTCTTGATTTTAAGCAAGAGTTTTCCGATCAAACTAGAAATTAGCCGATAGGTGAAGAGTTAGTACCTGCTCTATCCATTTGGGAAGTTGCTCGCAGAGTCCTTCGTCTGTCATCAGACGGAATCGGCCATTATTACCAAGGATTTCTACAAATAACGAATCGACTTTAGAATAACAAGTATTTCTTTGACATGCTAGTTTGGCGATTATCAGCAAATTGCTGTCGGAATAAAGAGAATGATGCAAGACTGCCCTTCATCAAAGTGCATGTGGATGCGAACCAACCTCGTATCCGCGTTATATGCTTGATGTCAACTTGCAGCAAACCTTCATCAATTTCTCGAATCAGTTGTATGACCCGACACCACTGAAAGGATGCATGATGACATAGTGACAGCGAAAGCAACAAAGGTAACTAGGTTCAAAATCACCTCATTTTGCTCTAATCGAATTTTTGATGCGTCAATCTCATGACCACTATGATGCAAACACGCTTCAATCTTCAGTTCGGAAACTGTCGGATTTTGCTTCATCTAAAAATAGTGACTTAATCAATATTAATAATCCATATAGCTGAAACGAAAAAAGTTGAGAAATTTACCTTTAGATAGGCCATACAGTTTTTTCCACATTTTATCGAAGGACGAGTAGGGCGACGATTTTTTTTATTTGGTCGCTCCTTTTGCTCACCACTGCGGGAGCACGTGAGGTAGTGTACCTGCAAGACGTGGAATCAGACACACTACTAGAAAATCTTATGCAAAAATACGAAAGAAGTGTTACAACGCTAGCGCCATTATGCAGTCATGTTGCTGCCTATGTGAGCGAGTAGTATACTTATGCATGGAAAGATCAGTCGTTCTTATTAGCGGTACATAGGCAATGTTGTTCGCTCATCCAAGGAGTTTTTAAAGGCATTGTCCAGGTCTACTGGGGGTAATGGGATCTTGACGCA